TTTTCAAATTTCAGTTTATCCAATCACAACGAGGGGATTTAAAACGGCAGCCAATAGAAAGCAAGGTATTAGCCCCGCCTCCTTCTGCTGTAACCAGTCAGTAGTCCTGGGAGGAGGGGCTTTCTGAAACGCACTTTAAAGGATTTTGAGTAAAAAAGTCGATTTTCTGATTGTGAAGAATAAAGAAAGCAGAGAGAACGTGTTCAAACCATGACCGGTTCAAACCGGACTGGTCCTTGTCAGACACGTGACCTGCATGTTTTTTTTTACTTTATTAATCATATTTAAGTCCCACGACTACATATAAAACATGTAAGCAAACTAACACGTTAGAATAGAGTAGTAGTGACGGGACTTACGGCTCTTCGAAAGGAGCCGTTCAAAAGACTGACTCCTTTGTAGGTTTTTTGTTTGCAATATCCTGAAAGAACAATGTTTTATTCATAAAATAAACACGGATATAAGTGACGGATGTTTGCTTGTTAAAGGTGTTAAATTCGGTGGGGCATTAATCTTGTTTTTCTGTAAAAAACAAATCTAGCTCAAAGGATGTGGGCTGACTTCAATTAGTGACACACGTGGGGCAAATGTAGCTGGAACAGTATTCATGTGTTCATTCCTGTAATAATGAAGAAAAGAACAAACTTTCATGCTAAACAACTTTTATTGAAAACTGCATGTAACTCACGCAAGATGAACTAAAATATGTTTAAGTGCTAGAAAGATGAACACAAAGCAAAAATAAAAACGTGTAAAAGACAGAAAATATCAGGAAACAGCGGACACGCTTGACCAGCAGTTGCTTTAACAACAACATCATAAATAAGATAATGTATTGAGTGAGACAGACAAATATATCTGTAAACAACGATGCTGTGTGGCAGTTTAACGTTTCATCTGTCAGAAATGGAATCAGGCAAATTTGCATTAAAGACAAGTGCTCTGACTTTTTCTGGCTTGAGGCAGTTCCTCCTTTCTGAGGATATTTGTCCTGTCTAGAGAAGACTCTCTCGGAGGGCACCGAGGTTGCAACAACACACATCTTCTTGACCACCAGCTTGTTCAGTCTAGGACATCCTGGAGCCCGATTCTGCCACCAGCTGAGAGGACTCTCACCTTCTGAAAGCAGAGGCTCCTCTATGAAAGCCCGTACCTCCATAGTGGCCTCGGCTGTTGGATTTCTGCTTGTCACTGTTCCCGCCACCTGCATATGAGATGAAAACAATAATGCAATAACTACCATATATTATTATTCGTGTGTTCTAGAGTGATGCTACACTAAGTAGTGCGTTGAAGAAGCTCCAGACAGCTGAGTCATGTGAAGCAGCACGGTGTCCTCCTTCCTCTCGGAGGGCCTGAGTCTGGTCACTACTGCGGTGGATAGTCTTTGAATGCCTCATCCGCTGCTCTGGCTTCTGTAAATGTCATTTTCTTGAACCTGGGGTCCAGAGCAGCTGCATCAGCAAGAACAGGGTTTGATTCCATTCTGTGAAGTCTAGTTGCCATGTTAGAGGACAGACTGGCAACTGCACCTTCTGCTGTCTGCGTTGTCATCCTCCACTGTTGATCAGCGGTGAGTCTCTGCAGCCCCCTTGCCAGCAGAATGACCTTTGATGCTCTTACGTAGCTTAAAGGTAAAATAGTTGAGTAACATGATTTATGATGTAAACAATAAACAAATCATGGTACTATATTCTACAGCTATGAGTGGTATTATTTTTAGCATCACTTAAGTAGTGGACATTAAGCATCACATGCTGTACATGTTATGAAATCCTTCAAGATCCAGACCTTTCTCCACTAATCTCAACTGTGACCTCTTCACAGTGTACATCTCCTCGATTACAGTCCACTCCTCTTGTGTTAAGGAGGTGACAGGAGCACTTGTAATGGCCAGGGTGGAGACAACAGGATCTTTACTCTTCAGACAACATATAATAGGTTGAGTTCCACCTGGTGGAGCAGTCTTGTTTGGGTCATAAGCAGGGAAGCAGCTACCTACTTTATGAGGGGCAAAAATCAGTGTTGGGAGTAATGCGGTACAAAAGTAATTAATTACTGTAATGCATTGCTTTTTGCTGTAATGTGGTAATGTAAGGCATTACAGGGAAAGAAAATGGTAATATTTACTCGGTACAATTGTCAGTAACGCGGTAATTACAATGCATTTTTAAACCCAGAATCAAGGTGTGTTCCTTAAAAATTCAAATTGCGGGAAACCCGAAGAAAGATCCAGTATCTGCATGTATGATGTCATTTATGGACTCAGCTTTGCGGGCAGAGAGGACGCCATGGTAACGGCTCAAATACTCCAGCTGCGTCCTGCACGCGGCCGCTGTAACATTCACAAAATCGCTCCACTAAAACAAAATAATTCACTTGCGATCGTTCATATCAGCGCATATTCTCTGGTATTCTGTGCTTTTCGGACGTGCCTTACCTCAGCTGAGTTCATAATCTGTGCCCCGGTGATTTCAACTCATTACTGCTCATTACGCACCTCAATGTCGAAGCTTTGAAGAGCCAGCAGCCATGACGCGATCCGCACATTGGTCACCACACCATCTCTGATGCGCTGACTGTTAAGGAAGGTCACCGGCTGGTGCTGTGTCTCAATGATGATTTTCTGGCCGCCAATGTAGTTAGCAAAGTATTTAACCGCCCACATGGTGGAAAGCAAAGCCTTTTCACAGTCCGAGTACTTCAACTCAGGCCCAGACAAGAGCTTACTAGCATAGGCTACCACGCGCCTGTCGCAGTCATGAACCTGGTAGAGACCAGCACTCAAACAGTGACCCGAGAAACTGACCTCAAGGTGGAACTCCTTGTCACAATCAGGGAGTTCCAAGCACGGAGCCGAGCACAACGCAGCCTTCAGGTCATTCATGGCCTGTTGCTGCTGCTCTGCCCACTCGAATGTCACAACCACCTTCAATAGATTAGTCAGAGGTCGTGATATCTCAGCGTAATGTTCTACAAACTGACGCGAGTAGTTAAAGACCCCCAAGAAGCTCCGAAGTTTGGAGACGTTTGTCGGAGGTATGATGGTGGCTACGCCCTGAATTCTGCCAAGTTGAGGCTGCACTCCCTGTGGTCCCACCAGGAGGCCAACGTACTGAACCTGCGACCTGCACCACTGTCCTTTGGCGAGAGAGATCATTGCACCTGCTGCTGCGAGCTGACCCATGACATGGTCCAGCTCGGACAGGTGGTCATTTAATGTACGCTTGCGAATAAGAATGTCATCGACATAGATGAGGGTCCCCCGCTCTCGAGCATCGAGGCAGGCTTTGTTCAAAAAGATGTTGAACTCCGCAGGCGAGTTGGAATAACCAAAAGGACACTGGGTGAAGGTGTACTGCCGGTTGGCAAAGGAGAATGCAAGTTTGTGTTGGTCCGATTCGTGGACGGGAATCATCCAAAATCCGGATGCAATGTCAAGTGTGGAAAAGTACTTAGCGTCTTTCACCCTTGGAAGATCCTGCTCCAGGCGCGCCATCGGCCACCTAGACAAGGGAACCTGTTTGTTGAGTTGCCGGTAGTCAATGGTTAGTCGCCACTTACCATTAGGCTTCTTTACCGGCCACAACGGAGCCGAGTAGGTGATGTTGCAGGGTCGAATGATCCCTTTAGCCAAGAGGCTGTCAATGATTTCCTGGACTGGTCCTTGGGATGCCAGGGGAATCTTGTATTGCCACACAAAAGTCAGCTGGGCATGTGGTGGTGTAGGAATCCTGACTTCATGGATAGTGGTTAGACCACAGTCCAAGGAGTCAAGTGAAAGAAAATCTTTGTACTTTAGCAAAAGTTGTCGTAGTTTGTCTCGCTCGACCTCGGTGGTAAGAGCATCCGCTTGGTCTACGACTCTTTCAATCTGGGACAGAACTTCAGGGGGCTTTTCTGGTGGCTTTGAGCGTGGCGGTGAGCCCGCAGTTTCGCCCCCGTCCTGAAGACTTACCACTAGACAGTGTGCGTCAGTGCCAGGCCGCGGATTGTACGGTTTAGGCTTTCTCACACATGCAAACAGTTGTTCGGACTCGTAGCCGATGAAAGAGTCAAGGCGCTGGAGACAGTCCATACCTATGATCATGTGCATGGTCATAGTCTCACCGATGTAGACGGGGTGTTTGAAGCTCATGAGCCCTATCGAGATCTGGATCCCATTCTTCGAAGACAAGTTCACTGGAATCCCAACGAAATCGTTGATAGTTAACGAGCACGGAATAAGTGTGTGTGTGTGTGTGTGTGTGTGTGGGGGGGGGGCAGGCCCTCCCCCTTTTCTCGCACATGCCGTTATAAAAACCCTTGCTCATGATCGTAATGTCCGAACCCGTGTCTACTAATGCGACACAGCGATGTCCCTGGTTTACAGTGACCTCTACTGTGGGTCTACCAGTCCCCTCTTTCACGTCTAGAGGTGCGAGCAGTATTTTGTCAGCTACGGCGATAGCACTACCTGGGCCATCGTCTACGGGTGCATCGTTTATCACCGCCACAAATGGAACAATCGGTGAGGTGTTGTTTTTCTGTGAGTCAGAACCTTTCAAAACATCAGCCTGCAGCATCCTCGTCTCATCTGGCGGCTTCTCGGCCAAACACGGGGTCGCCGCCCGTGTCGCCTGAAAATCACGCACAAAATGTTTGACGTCCTGGACGTCCTGCTGGAGTGCAGATCATGTTCATCATGTTTGTCATCATCGTTAGGAGATCGCTTTGCATCGGAGCCTGAAGTTGTGATGGTAATTGCATTGTTTCCACTGGGCCCATCTTCCAATTAGTAATGAGTTCTTTAATTTACTAATCTTACCCAGAAACAACCTTACCTGTAGGCTTATTACAGGGAAGCTTGGCTTTCGAATGAGTATTTGGGGCAAAACCGTTTAGTAATGCCAAAAATATCACTCCCTTTTGACCTATCCAAGATGGCCGGTCGAGCTACGTGTTGTGTCACCTAAGATGGCGGATTGTTGCACATGCGCTGTCCGTCACTCAGCGTTTAG